CCATGTGGTCACCTCTGGGGCAGGCGGGGATCGAACTCATGCAGAAGCGGCTTTAGATTCTCAATGCTGTGCTTTAACCCGCTGCACCACCAGGGAGAGCCAACATTCACTTTTTTAAAGGTGTATTTAAATGCTTTGTCAATAAGGCCGCAGCGGGGGTGGTGCCGTTTAATACCGCAGAATCTGAAAGACAGGCCCAAGTTTGGGCTCCACCTCTGAGCCTTTTAATGGCCGTGAACAAGCCACTTACTTCTCTCGTCTGTGAAACGAGGTCAGAACGGGTTCTGCGAAAATACAGATGCCAAGTCAGGCAGTTCCTTTCAGCAGTCCCTGGAGTGCAGCCAGTTAATGTGCACTTGAACTCTCCGTGGGAGGAGAAAGGGTGGGCATTTCTCACACACACCTGATCACCACGGTCCAGGGTAAGCACTGAGACTGGTCCCCCCAGTCCCGGTGGGGGGACCTGACATCCCATCCCCTTGCTGAGCGCCCGCTTTCCTGGTGTCCCTTCAGCTAAGTGGCCGCGACTGCCTGACCACGGCCAGGCCGCCTGCCAGAGGGAGGCAGCTGGAGGGTGGCTCTCCTCCAGGAAAAAAGAACCCAGGGTCTTTTCCAGCAGCCTCTTTCTTACTGACGAAGTGCTGGTACGGGTGGTGGGAGTCCAGAACCCCAGTACTGACAGGCCAGCTGCAAGATGGTGAGCATCCCATCATCTTTTGATGAAGGGACAATGATGAATTCAGAAGAGTGAACCCCTGAGGTCAGCCTTCTCAGGGAGATTCTGTTGCCTCTGAACCTTGCTCTTCCCAGACTACTGAGCAAACAGCCAAGAAAATACAAAAATCTGTGGTTTATTATTTACTGGTCTTGGCTTAATCGGCCGCGAAGCCTGAAAGCCCAAGCTTCTTCTTCTTTTTTTTTTTTCATACTAACAGAGCAGCTGACAATGTCACTTATGAGTTTGATGGCACAAAGCACATCTTGACAACTCCCCAGCCCCGTGCCTTGGCCCACGCTCGGCGGACGCCTCTCTGACCAACGGTGATCCCCGCCGTCTCAGCCAATATCCCCAGTGACCTGGTGCCGAATGGTCCAAACAGCAAGACTTATCTCCAGAGGATCCTCCCCAGAGGCACCCCTCCACTGCACACCCACACAGAGGGCCTCTCCAGCCCCGATCCCCATCCTCCGGAATGGACGGCACCCCACTTTCTAGGCTACCTCCAGGCCACATCCTACAAGACAAACTGCCCGGCTTACCGATCTGCAGATACACCGTGCAAGAGTGGAGAGAACCAACCTGGACACTCACTCTGTGTCAGAGAGCGGGGGGCTGAGCGGGGCCTTTCTTGTCTTCTATTCCCTAATGGTGGTGACCTCGTTACCCCTATTCTAAAGGAGACCGAGGCTGAGTATTACCCGACTTTTCCACTGACACCAGTGGGCATGGGCAGAGCTAAAGTTAGACCAGGACGTTGGGGTACAGAGTGCGTGGCCTCATTCCATGGCCCAGGTGCCCCCCACCTCTGTCCCCTCCAGCTCTCGGCCTCTCTGCTCACCATGATGAGCAAGAGGGAAAAGCAAGCCCGTGTGAGCCCACCAAGGGCCTCCTGGACCTGTGCTCCTTTCAGCCCCAGCCAACCTGTGAACCGGATATTTTTCTCCACTTCACAGGTAACCCAGCGAGACACGACAAGTGCAGGAGCGGGCAGATCACGGTGGCAGCAGGGAGGGGATCTGCTCTCCGAGATGCGGCTCTGCTCACCCGCCCTGCCAGACCCCGCCGCCACCCTCTGCATGCAGAAAAGCACTTGGCAAGTAAAGGAAAGCAGCAGCCTTGCAGGTCTTGCTGAGTCTCCAAAAACACCCATGGCCATCAGCACATGATGACGTCCCAGGGTAGATGACGTCCCAGACCTGTGTCCCCACCCTCACGGCAGCCCTGCAGGTAAGCAGGAATCAGAGCCCTGCGGGTTAAGTAACTAGCCAAGGTCAACTGCTGTTAAATGCCTGAGGATGGAGCCTCCCTGGTGATGCAGGGGTTAAACGTCACTAGGACATCACCAGCCACAGCAGCTGGAACTGGAGCCCCAGCCTGGGAGGTGACCCACAGGGCGCAGCAGACCTCTCCTGACCACCCCCTGCTCCCCTCAGCAGTGGACTTCAGTCCATCTGCCTGTTCTGCTCCCCACTCTGTCTCTGGTGAATCCTCTCACCACCCCCGGCCTGGCACCTCTGGCTTGCACCCCAGTTCCCGTATGCATAAATAAATCATTCCAAAAAGTGCCTGAGGATGAGCTCAGAGGGTCTCAGCCAGGTCAAAGGCCGCATCTCCCAGCCTGCGAGGGTCAGTGGCTCTCGAGGCGCCCTCCCCGCTTAGGGAGAAGAGGGAGAGCACAGTTCTTGGGGCAGGTTCTCTCTTACAGAGAAAAAGGTCTGTGCTTTGATTTCCTCAATGTAGACCAAATTCATTTTTCTAAGGTGCTTTTTCTTGTTGAGGTGACGCCCTGTGCATGATTTAGGGGTGTCAGTTCACACCTCCTCAGATACAAGTTACCATCATCAAAGCACCCACTGTCCTCCAGCATTCCACTGCGTCCCCCGCAGAGGCACCCCAAATTCCTCCTCCTCTGGCAGCCTCCACCCCACAGCCAGCTTCCCAGGCTTTGTTTGGGTTTGGTCTTCTCTGTTCCTGTGTTTGGCTTCTCTGAGCCCACATGAGTGAAACCATCCGGTGTTTGTCTTCCTGAGTCTGTGCTGTCCCTCCAGGAGCGAGGCGTTCTTCCCCGTGTCTGGTTCTCCAAGGCAACATCAGAGGCACAAGCTTCGGAGACGCCCCGAGTCCACCCCGCCTGGTACAGCACCGGACTCACATGACTCGGGTGGCCTTTGATCTCGCTGGGGCTCCTCCACAGAAAGGAGGGGCTCCCACGAGTAGGGCGGGGGATCTGCGCGTTCCAGAAACTTCTCTGCAAGGCCAGCAAGCTCACGTTCACTCCTGAACACGCCCGTTAGGCCCACAGGTGAAGGGCAGGTACGTCCAGCACCAGCCACCCCACATGCACCTGCCCTAGGGGGTGACGTCTGCCCCCCGTATCCTGTCTTCCTCCCTCCTGCCCCCATCCCTTCCTGCAAAAGGAACACAATGCCTCCTGTCCCCAGTGACAGTAAACTTTTGTGGGTTTGTTTTCCTTTTCAAGCATCATTCCCAGCACCCATGTCGCAGTGCATGTGTGGAAACATAACCCCAGGGCACCCTCATCACCCGAGCTGGGTGAGCTCAGCCATCCCCAGGCACGGCAAGGGGCCCACAGGTGTTCACAGGCAGTCGCGGGAGCAGCAGCTGGCCAGGAGCTGGGCTGAGATTCCAACCGGGGTGACCTGGCTCCAAGCCTGAGTCCGGCCCTGACGCCCACCTCCTCGCCACCAGCACCACCTTCCGAGCCTCCAGATCAAGAGCTACGTGAACCTGCAGGCTGGGCCACCCAGCCTAGGCCATTAAACTTCAAAAAAAGACAATGAAATTGAAATAAACTGGACCTTTCTCAGTTTCTCGGCTATCAGAATGAGGTCAGAGAGACTTGTCTTTGGCAAGAACAAACCTGATCCATTTGAATCATAGGCCTGAAGACAGGTGATGTTTACAGGGTCTGGCTGGGATCCCACCCTTGACTCTGTATTTAAATCACATCATGTTGAGCCTCCCTGGTGGCCTAGGGGTTAAGTCTCAGCACTATCACCTTGAGGGCCCAAGTTCGATCCCCAGCCAGGCAGTGACCCACCTGGCACAGCAGACCTCTCCTGTCTCCCTGCTGCTCCCCTCAGCAGTGTATTTCAGTGAATAAACCTGCTCTGCTCCCCACTCTGTCTCTGGCGAATCCTCTCACCACCCACATCCCAGGCCTGTACCCCAGTTCTGTATGCATACATAACTCGCATCATTTATGCACCAGAGGTTGGTTTTAAAGTGCAGCCTACAGCCTAGTGCTCTACCGGCATCTCTGCTCACTTGTCACTTACCTTCCACCCACGCAACTTCATAAGATTGAAAATCCAAATCCTCCCACTTAGAATTGAAAGGAGACTCTCCCTGCCGGGTGTGGGTCCCGGCGCCGCGATCAGCACAGGACGCCACCCCTGAGCAGCCCAAGGCTCTCTCCTCATGAAGACACGGTGCTTCCTGTGGACATTCAGGAAAAGCAACACAGGCAGGACCCACCTCGGAGAAGAACTCGTCCAGGAAGGCCGTGTTGTCGATGGCGATCTCCACCTCGTCGGCGTCGCTGTCCTGCGTCAACTGCTTCTGGGTGGGACAGAGGAGCGGGTGAGACGGAGCCCCGAGCCAGGCTGCAGCGCTCCCGGCCCACCGAGGACCACCAGCTGGCCTCTCCAACAAGTGCCCCGAAGCTCAGAATTCTGAGGGCCGAGCGGGACGCCGCTGGTGGCCCAGGGGTTAAGTCTCAGCACTCTCACTGCTGCAGCCTGAGGTCAATCGATATTTTGGTAGATCCCATAAGCTGCTCCCCACTCTGTGTCTGGTGAATCCTCTCACCCCCATACCTCTGGCCAACACCCCAGTTCTTCTATGCATAAATGAATCTTTAAAAATAAACTCTGGGGTCCTCCCTGCTGGTGCTGCGGGTGTAAGCTCAGCACTGCAAGCAATCTGCAGCTGCTTCATTACAAGTTCGATCCCTACCCCGAGGGTGACCCCTATGGCACGGCAGACCTCTCCTGGCAGACCTCTCCTGACCCGCCTGCTGCTCCCCTCAGCAGTGTACTTCATCAGTCAGCCAGTTCTGCTCCCCACTCTGTCTCCGGTGCATCCTCTCACTGCCCCTGTACCTCTGACCTGTGCCCCAGTTCTGTATGCATAAGTAAATAAATCTTAAAAATAAATAAATAAAACTTCAGGCCACATCCACCCCTGAGGTGCATTGTCTGAGTTTCAACCCTACATCCACCACCGCTTTTCTGGATTTTTTTTTTTTTAAGATTTTATTTATTTGTGCATTCAGAACTGGGGTACAGGCCAGAGGTGCAGGGGCAGTGAGAGGATTCACCAGCGACAGAGTGGGGAGCAGAACAGGCCGACTGTCGAAGTACACTGCTGAGGGGAGCAGTGGGCCGGTCAGGAGAGGTCTGCCGCGCCATGTGGGTCACCTCTGGGGCAGGCGGGGATCGAACTCATGCTGAAGTGGCTTTAGCTTCTCAGTGCTGTGCTTTAACCCACTGCGCCACCAGGGAGGGCCACTTGTCTGGATTTTTTTTGCCAGGGGAGGAAGTGTGGGACTACAATTTACTAACCAGGCTGGGCCAAAATGCTAACAATCACACCACTTACTCTTCATAGCTTTAAGAAATAATGTTAATATTAAACACTTTTGCATGTTAGAGTATCCTGGCTACTCAATAAATGCGGGGTGTCAGCGGTGGTGATGCTATTGGTGACATGGCCTAACTCATTCCAGTCAGAAAACCTAAAACAGAAAGACTGAGTGACTTGGCTTAGGTCACACAGCTAAGGTATGGGGACAGGCAGCTGTCCCCATAGCTCCTTTGGCTCTGACCCCATGTTCCTCCAGGTGGTCCAAATGCCTGACCCACTCTGAGGGGGGCCGTATTAAAACAGCCTGCAGCCACCATTTCTTCAGAGTTATCAGCTTCAAACCCTCAAGGTAGGGGCAGAGATGTTCTCAGAAATCACCTCTTGCAAAGGAATTAGAACCATGTGGCCTTCCCTGACAGGGAGCATTTGTTTATAAGGAAAAGGAAGCTCTCCTGCCAGCCCAGCAGCCCTCAGGGCCCCCCGCCTTCTTAATCCCATTCAGCTTCCTCTCAAACTCACAGAGGAAGCACTCCATTCCCACCCAGGGCCGCTGCTTTTCCTTTCCTCCTGAAGGCTCTCCCCAGACTTCTGCTCACCACAGGCTACTTCTACACCCAGAACCGGACGGCCCAAGAACCGGGTCAGGCATGTGTACAATCTGGAAGAACATGGGGTCGGTGGCCCAAGGCCACCAAGACCTGGTACTCTCAGAAGTCCACGGCCAAGACCTGGTACTCTCAGAAGTCCACGGCCATGAATCCACCTGCTCCCCCTAATCTGGGAGGAGACTGGAGTCACTGGGGATCCCATGGAAATGTGGGGCTCTCCAGCCATCAGGGGAGGCTCTTCTGACTGCCTCTGGCTTGTGAGATACCACCAGGAACCCATGCTTCTCCAAGGCCACATTCAAATGAGCTGCTTCAGGCCCTGTAGCCACCTGCCTCAAACTTGTGCCTAGAACTTAGAACTGACTCTGGGCCGCACCCTGGGGCATTCAGGGGAAGCCGCCCAGAGATTCCAGGTCCCAAAGCCTCACAGAGCAGGGGGGGTGGGGGGTGGGAGCCTGGTTTCTAGCACTGTGGCATTTGCCTTCTAAAAACATAAAATAATGACATCTACAGCAGCAGCCACAAGTCAGCACAGCTCAGAAAATGGGAGGAGGTCTCCTCCCAGGCTCCACCAGGGAGGAGTCTACCAGGTGGGGAGGCTTCTGGGGGGCTCCACCTGCTGGGAGAGCACCTGACACCTTTACCTGCCACCCACAAGAATGACAGAAAAGGACTTGAGCGTCTTTATCACGGAATCTGGCCTGTGGTAAAAGGACGTTAGAGTAGCTGCAGTGAAAAACGTCGGAGAACCACAAGGCCACTGGAGCCCAGCCACCCACTTCCTCTCGCACACAGCCCCTGCTGCCTCTCCCGCCAGGAGATGGGCGATATCGCAGGGGTCCCCAGCTTCAGCAAGGAGGGCCCGAGCTACGACCTCTCAGGCCACAGAGCAGGAACAGATCAGGGCCCAGAGCTCCTAGAGACTGAACGTGCAACACCTCCACTCTGCTGCATGGCCCTTAGCTGTTCTCTGCGCTCCTCGGTCTCAGAGGGACCGCTGTCTGGTGCACGAGAAATATTTGCCCCCGGAGAGGTCCTGGTGGGTGCCAGGTGACCACACCACTCACGCAGGCACCAGGTTATAAGTTTGATTCCAAGAGAAAATGACCTCTGTCTTTTCTTGAAGCCTGCTGGCCCCGCTTGTCCCCCCACTTCTTCCTCTAGGGTGAGGGTCTGCAGCTTCCCAAAGACAATGTGGCCCCTCAAGGATGCCAAGAGCATGCGCTTGCCCTGCGGCCCAGCACCTGGCGTCTCTGGCCCAGGCCCAAGGCCCAGCACCTGGCGTCTCCATCCCTCTTCCCTCATGAAGAGCCTGAGGTCCTCAGTCCGCCCAGGCCCTCGGCGGGGTATCAGGGTGTTGGTGCTCTCTGTTCCCCTACAGGGTACGGAGGCCTTCTCCCACAACCAGCCCCCGTCCCCTGGGCCCTTCTTCCAAGGAAGGTCCCTGAGGAGCCACTTCCCCTCCTCCGAGCTGCGTCTTCCCCAGGGCTCTCACCAGATGACTCAGAGGAAATCAGGGGAGGGCCATACGGCTACGGCAGGGCCTCCCGCTGGGACTTCCAAAATGTTCTTCTAGCCAGACAGCTGAGGGTAAGACCCTGCTCTGTCTGGGAGGTAAAGACACCAGGGCACGACTCCTGGCAGAAATAGCCCCAGGCCACTGGTCAGGGGCAACGGACAGTACGTTCCCGGGGCCCCACTCCGCCCAGCTGCCCACTGGCCAGCTCTGCTAGTGGGCAGCAACTCACAGGTGGTGCTGGGCCAACACACCAGCCCTCACAACAGCCCTCGGAGGGACAGATCTTACTCTCCCCATCCACAGGCAAGGAACTACGTGAGGTTATAGCGCCCAGTGAGCTTTAGAGCTCAAAAGCAGGTCTACAGGCGCCCAGGGCTCTGTCCTTGAAGCTACACACTGCATGGACAGGCCCCTCCCACCCCACACTAGCTCATTTCACAGGATGCTGCAATCACACTCACCCAAACTAGTCTAAACACACGAATGGAGAAGATCCCGCAGCAGAAAGTCTGTGAACGTCAGGTTTATAGAGAAGCAACTGACCGAGTGGAAAACCCAGCTTGGCCACGTCAGAGCTGTGCATTCTTACTTAAGTCACTTAACCTCTCTGTGCCTGTTTCTTCCTTTATAACATGAATAGTCTGCTCCCAGATGATGTGAGGATTAAGTTCATTAATACATGGGAAGTGTCTGGGGCAAAGCTGAATCCATGCTAGTTGCCCAAGGTTATGTCTTTCAAGGCAGAGAATCTGGTTCTGCCTTTCCAGAGTTTCTGCTAAACTAATAGCTTTAACACCAATTCTCACTAGGTCCCTCAGGCACCTGGTTGACTGAACATCTGCCTGGTGCCAAGGAATGGTACAGACACTGGGGAGCAGACTCAGGGCCCCCTGCTCCCCACCCCCTGCTCCCAGCAGTGACCCCTGCTCCCTACCAGCACCCCCTGCTCCCAGCAGGCGACCCCTGCTCCCCACAGGCACCCCCTGCTCCCAGCAGTGACCCCTGCTCCCAGCAGTGACCCCTGCTCCCAGCAGTGACCCCTGCTCCCCACCGGCACCCCCTGCTCCCCACCGGCACCCCCTGCTCCCAGCAGTGACCCCTGCTCCCAGCAGTGACCCCTGCTCCCCACTGGCACCCCCTGCTCCCAGCAGTGACCCCTGCTCCCACCGGCACCCCCTGCTCCCAGCAGTGACCCCTGCTCCCCACCGGCACCCCCTGCTCCCAGCAGTGACTCCTGCTCCCCACAGGCACCCCCTGCTCCCAGCAGTGACCCCTGCTCCCCAGTAACTCTCTGTCTCAGAGAAGGCAGAAAGGCACTCAGGTCACTACAAGTCCACTTATCGCTCCCACACGGATAAGGGGCTGCCCAACCTCACCTGAACTCAAGGCGGAACCTGGGGAGGGTGGAAGCCTGTCAGAGGACGCCCCCAGGTGCAGAGAAAGCCCCCAGGTGGGTCCCGGAAACTGTGGCCAAGCAGATGGCCATTCAAGGGAGAGGCCCGCACCTTCCCTGATCCTTCCCTCAGCAGCAGCCACTGGGGGGTGCCCCAGGGTCACCCCTTCCCAGAACCAGGTGTGCTTTCCTGGCCTCCCTGCTTTCACCCCCCAAGCCCCCACAGCGCCCAGTTCTTGGGGATACAGGAAGGAAATAGCATGAGCACCTGTCCGTCACCCTCGGCTTCTGCCCCACAAGGCTGTCCCCCTTTTTTCCTCTAGAACACCGAACAGTTAAACCTGCTCATTGCCCAGTGCTGGACACATGCTGGGCTTCCCCAGCCCACAGCTGAGAACACTGAAGCACAGACATGCCATCACCTGCCGAGGCCAGGGGGACAGTGAGGGCGGAG